ATTAAACAATCAGTTAACAATTCAGAGCTGTGGGTTTTACTTTTCATGACAAAAGCTGTTGCCACTTAAAGTTCATTAGAATGAAGTAAAAAGGAAAAATCAATATTGTTATTCAAGCTAGCTAAAGCTTGAAAAGAAAGGCATCAGTTTATTCATGAAGGACCAAGGACTGAAGGGAAGAAGAAATGGATAACTCAGGCGAAATAAGGCAACGAGGAATGCCTTTTCAGGGAGGGTACCATAAATAAGAGATAACAATATGCTTCACCACCTAATTTCACAATTCAGACCCACAAGCATAGAATAAAGAGATGGCCCACAACAGAACTAAACACCCCTTTTCTCTCCCCATACAGATTTCCAAACCCTCTGAAATCACACTCCTAGTGTTGGACTCATTCCTCTGTAAAACCGGTCCCCTCCCTCCCTTTGATCAATGTTGACATGGACTTCAGCACGATATGAAAGAAGCTATTGGGTCTGTTTCAGACAATTTGCAATGTGGCATCTCCCGATTGACCGATTCCATCCAGCTCACTGGTTTGTTTTTGGGATCCAACACTCGCAATCTTGCTTGCATCATGCCGTGCCTCACCCACATGGTTTCCAGCATTGATATGTACATAGAATCTTTTTTGTATCATATATCCAACCATTCATGTATACAAGAAAATGTTTAATGATTGAAAATAGATTTCTAATTACATATAGATGATTCAACGTGGCGGCTCTGAGGCCAGGAAGAACATTAACGTATGGAATTGCTAGCAAATGGAAACGACATGGACAGTTCAATAACATAATACAACAATGGTGATGGAAACGAAAACCCGCAGCCTACCCAAATGCAAAGCAAGCCCAGAGAAAATGAAGAAAGATAGAGAGACATTAATGCAAACTTGAATGGTGATCAAGACAAGCAAAAGTAAGTAAAAGGGCAAGTCGACGAAATCGAAAATGTGATCTTTTCCACCAAGTGGGTGGCACAGATGATAACCATGGACGGCTATGACGAGAGAGATGAGTGACCCGAGATTGACGGTGAGCTTTTCCTGCATATCGTTGTCTCAACAAAAAGTGCCACAATCATGTCTTTCCTTCCTCTCTTGTTGGGCTAATGTGTGATGACTCATGACATTGACAGCATTACATGTGAAATGATCAAATGTGATATACGTGAAATTCATGGATGACTCAAAAATCCATTCCTTTAATTAACTATATGGAATAATGTTCCTTCCATGAGTTCGCATTGTTCAACTTAATTTCCAAACAAATTGAAATTGTTACAGATTGGAATGTTAAAAGATGGTGAACTAAGATACATAACCTAAACTCAAGAGGGAAATGCATGGTGGCTATGTGTTGATCTAAGGGTGCATAACAGTTGAGAGAAATAACATGGTTTCCTCGGATGAGAAAATTGATCTCACAACTCACAAATTGACATAGAAATGCATGGAGCTGCTCTTACATATGAGAAACTCTTTTGGGTTCATCAAAAAAGTTAATTTGGGCCACATGACTCGGCCCTGGAGAATATTGGGCCCTTGGAATTACGATAGTTGTGTTTACAATTATAGATGCTGCTATTCTTTATCAAATTAAATTTCCAATTTCCGAACAATTGAAAAGATGGGGAAATGAGAATGATTCTAAACATCTTCATCTGATATATATATATATATATATATATATATGTATATGCTACATAAATTGAACATGGACGAGGTCCTAAAACTTAAAAAATGATATGTGATCATTTTGATTCAATTGATATGACCATTGATTTTAAAAATATATTGTACACATCTCATTTTGTTTGAAATCATTTAGTATGAATTTTCAAATTAATTTAAGTCATTGTTGATAATTAGTCTGACTTCCATTGTTAATCTTCTAGGTTTATCTTATTTGGATCTTAAACATTAAACGAGCTTATGGTTCAATTTATTAATTGGGTTTAAAGTCTCTACTGCTAATTGGATCTAATGGATCATTTGGGCCTTGGGTTGATAAGTCTGGAGTGCAAAAAAACTCACACACACCCGAATGTCATGCATTGACTTTATTTTGATATGTTAGTTATTACATATTCTTGTAATATCATTTGTAAGTTGATTATCTGTGATGTCTTCTATCATGTCATTTATTATGTAATATGTTTTTTCATATCATTTGTTTACAATATGTTTTGTCACGTAATTTATTTTGTAATGTATTTTGTTACGTCATTTATTTTATTATGCGTTTCACCTCATTATCGATTACGTATTTTATTGTATCATTTATATATTATATCATCTAGCCATTAGTCAGTTTTAAAACTAGATGATGTGACGGAATATGTCCCAAACAGTTGACATGATGGAATAACGTGTTGAAACATAAAAAAAATAACTTACGTAATCAAATATGTTATAGACAAATGACGTGACAGAACACATTGTAAATATGACGTAACAGAATTATGTCGCACATGACAGAACATGTCATAGAAAAAAACGTGACGAAACATGAAGCAAATAATTGTGTTACGAATAATATTATAAAAACATGTGACAACTGACATATCATAAGTTATCATGATCGAAGATGTTAATACATGAGTAACCCATGAGTGAAATAAGAATTATCGACAATTAAACACGTGAAATAGGAATTTTTAACACCAAGAGTGATTCTGATACCATGTTAGAAGAAAAAACATCTTATATTATGAAATTGTTTATTTATAAAAAAAATCTAAAAGGTGTATGTTATAAAGGTAAATGATATATATATAGCTAGATAATTTATAAAAATTATCATAGCAAACCTTTTCTCCAACATAATCTTCAGCCATAATTGATTAACACGTTTTTACATCGAATTCACGGGTAATGTTTAGTAATTTTTTGTCACCAAGTTGTCCTATAAAGGGCCCTTTCTGAACACAAGAAAACAGTCTATGACTCCACGTCCATGTTTTGACACAGTTGCCTATAATCTGATCGTGTTCATGGCAAATCATCGATGTTTCATTTTAGGTCTTAGAACAGCGGTCAGTCTGTAGGAAATTTCTGCACAATAAGATAGCTAGCTTTTATGATTGCAAGGGGCAGAGGAGGATGCCATAATAAAGGATTAAAAGTGGACAACACTGCAATCTGATCGTGTTCGTGGCTTATCATATATTCAAGTTAGTGACTCACATGGCTGATGATATGCCACGACCAACGACCAGTCTGTAGGAAGTTTTGCTACCTTGGAACTATTTATAAGCCTGAAACATTCAGCTCCCTTGTATTTGATCCATATTAGTGTGCTTCTATGGGAAACAGTCATTTGAGTGGGTTGAAAATGAAAGAGCTGCAGCCTGTTTCCATGCTCTCTCTGCAGTATCACCATATCAGTCCTCTTCTTCTAACTTTTGGAAATGCTGACCTGTTTCCAAAACAATTTTTCAATAAAGTTAGAAGCCCTGACTATGGTGTGCGATGGAGGCCTATGAAAGGTTTTCATCCCAGTCTGCTTAATTGAATCCAAAGCTTGCATGCATGCGCACCAAAACTACCAGCATTCCTTTGAAAACATTTTTTCTGGCTGAAATTTGGAAGTATGACCAGAGCAAATCATCAAAACAGATATAACAAAATTGTTAGAATTCTTCTGAGAATCCCTGCCAAGCCTTCATTCATACTTCTTGGTAAGCCACCACTGCTGTGATTCCCATTAACCAAATGTTCTCAAGCACAAAACTATATATTAATTGTTTGACGAAAGAATATACAGTGAAGGCAGCAGTAGCCATGATCATCATTACAAAAGTTTTAACTCATTGAAACAGAAATGTGTTTCAAAGAAAAGGCAGTCTGTTGAAGACCAAGTAAAATTAGCCAATCTATCTTATCATTAATTTTTGGCCACAATGCAATGCAGACGCTAATACTCTGAGCCATGCATCTATAACCTGGGGAGCGGACGAGGGTGAGGCTTGTCCCATTCTGTCACAATGTGCTCACGGGTGATTTCTTTGAGTGAACGACAACCACTCAGCGCCATGGTTAGTTCGAACTCCTCACGCAGCATTGAAAGTACTTTCCTCACACCAGCTTCTCCTTCAGCAGCCAATGAGAACACCACAGGTCGTCCAATCTGAGATTAAGACCATTACAACATAAGTCTTGACTCTTGTGCCACTTGATATGGCAAGATGATTATTTTTAGAGGAAAATAGAAAAGATCATTTCAGAGGTGAAGAACAGAAACTGTCTGCAACAGCAAGAACTACTTTGTGGTGATAAGTGCCACACTAAGCAGTACTTTCAACCATTTTAACAGAAATACTTCCATTTTCCGAATGAGGATAGGTACAAAAAAGTTTAAAAAGTGAGCATAGTACAAATACTTCTTATCCTTGTGTCCAAATGTATTGTGTAATGCCTTTCCATGAGGCAGTCTTATACTTACAAATATACCAGAGGCTCCCAGTGCTAAAGCTTTGAAAACATCTGTTCCACGCCTAACACCACCATCCAAGAAGACAGGGACCCGGCCTTGTGCAGCTTTGACGACCTGGAAGTTAAGAATTTGTTAAGACTTATTGTCTTCGTATTAGCTTTGACAACCTGGAAGTATGAAGAAATTCTTTCACCTCTTCGAGGGCCATGATAGTGGCAGGAACATAATCAAGCTGGCGAGCACCATGGTTGGAGACAATGATACCAGCTGCTCCAGACTGTATTGCTATCCTTGCTGCAAAAGAAGCATAGATAGTTCAAGCATCATCACTATATGTTATCAAAATGGCCCAAGATGCAGAGGAGTTTATTTTTTCTTACTGTCTTCAGCAGTGAGTACACCCTTCACAAGAATTGGCAATTTGGTAATTGTCTGAAGCCATTTCACATCCTAAACATAGCCAATAGAGTTCATTTAATGCACTGTTAATTAAAGGAATCTTCAGGCATAGTCACACTATATAATAAGGTCATGGTTTCCAATTCCAATATTTGCAGCAGAATAGGGCTTAGATTCCTATAACTACCATACATTTTGAAGAAAACTTTTGATTTCCCAAGCTTTTAGACAAATTTTGAACATAAAAAGCTTTCTACACTCCATGAGTTTTTAGCCGTATCAAGATAACAGATGATACATTCCCCTAAACTAGAACATTGAAAATGACATCAAATATGGTTGTCATTCACAAAATAGCAATAGATTATCAATCAACCAATGGATCTCCCAAGTCATGCATTTACATACCTTCCAGCTAAGGGTACGATCAATTTGTCCGGCAACATATGAAGCAAGTCCTGAGTCATCAGCCTGCATGGCTCGCAAGAACCAATTAAATATCAAGGGAAACAAAAGCTCATTATTTGAATTGAAAGGCTTGGTTCTTTACTAGGTCAATAACTGTAGAGTTAGAAGGACTACTCACTCTATCCATCTTCCCAAGGTCCAAACCTTCAAAGTTCTTCAATGCCAAAAATGGTGGTAAAGTAAATCTGTAAGAGAATGAAACAGAAGAATTCTTCAGTGTAACTTGACTTGCAAGTATACAAATCAAACATCTAATGCTAAGTGAACTAACTGTGCCACAAGACATTTCTAAAAGAATGCTTTAAGGGGCACTGCAACTCTAAGAGCCAATTCTACCTGTTCTTGATGTCAGCTTCTCTGCGACCGAGCCTTGGAGTATCAACTGTAAGAGCAATTGCCTTGAAACCAGCCCTTTCAGCTCTTCTCACCAGCTGGGCAACTACATGCCTGTCCTTGTATACCTGAAGATTAGACATTAGAGATCAGTTATCACACAAGCCTTATCCTTGTGAATAAGTAGGTAGAAAGATCAACTATTTCAAAAGATTGGACACCACAACATCATTTGAAGCTTACATAGAGTTGGAAAAACCTAATGCCAGGTCCTGTTGAAGCAACCTCCTCGACACTAGAAGTGGCCCATGAGGATAATGTCTGAAAAGGCCATCAAGAAATTTATAAATGAAGTAGATTATATAATCTGGTTGGATGATGAAGAGCAACTGAAGCACAAAAATATCATATAATGAAAATAAATGAGTTTTAATATTTTGTCAAAGGCTGGCAATTATATATGATAAGTCTGGCTAAAAGTTGTATTAAAGGTACTAAGAAATAGATGGTTGTTTATTTTTCATTTAGAAAAGCATGATGAGCAAAATGAGACTGATATTCTTACATCATGCCTATTTAATATGCATCGAAAATGGGTGAACTCTAGGTCCATAATTAGCCATGGCAAGTGAGATGCAGTAGACACTATACATCTTAGACTTTAATTAACATTATAACACTGTTGAGGATACTGGAAACATCACTTAAGATTTGTAGGTGATATCATTCATATCTCCAATTAAACTGGCTCAGATGGGTCATTTGGCTGTATGGAGATCCATTATGAAACTATGAAAAAGAAACTGACTAAATTGGATTCAAATATATCCTTTTAACAGAATCATTTGGCCATTTGAGAAAAAAAAAAAAAACAAACGGGGAATGGTAAGAAACATTATCAGAAAGGCTAATACATGTATTTTTCTTCTTTTTGCATCAACTTCTTCTGAAATTGATTGTATAAAAACATTTGACAATATGGAAACAGGTGTCCTTATTGGATTAGCTAAGGATAAATATTTAAATGGAAAGTTTGAGAGGGAAGCCAAACCATAATTGTTCCAGCTGCTGATGCAGCCCTGGCTGTTGCATACTCCCCTGTCAAAAATTGGAAGATCTCACCATTAGACTGTCAAAAATTGCTTTCCATGAAACTATGAAGGTTCACACTGCATTATGCTTGAAAATCAGCTTCAACACTAATGAGAAATAGAAAGTAGATTAAATATGCACATGATGTAAAGAGTCAATTACATATCTTCCTGTGAATGCAATAAGATCCATCATGAAAGAAGCTATAAAAGTGAGGTTGATAACATAGAAATGCACTTGGAGGAAAGTGCTTATGTACTAGAAAAACCAATCAGGTCAACAATGGCTAATCCACTGAAGATACCTGGCTTTCTGGTTTGTCTACTTAAGCATACATATGCAAACGAACAGAACCTGTCTTCTGCTTGAATTGATATGATATCATAATTACTTGATTCTAATGAAAATGTTGAACATAAAATGGAATAATCCTTTGAGAAAACAGTGCCATACCTTCAGGATGAGCCATTTTCTGCATGGCTGTTGGGGCAATCATAATGGGCATTGATATCTTGAAGCCCAAAACAGTGGTAGTCATGTCTATCTTGCTTACATCAATAAGAATGCGAGGACGAAACCTATGCATTATAGGAATAAAGAGTTCAAGAAATTAAGATCTAAGAATGTAGACAGAAAGGAATTATACAGTGTTTTGCAATAACAGATAAAAAGCTCACAGGATCCTTGAGAATGCATTCCGGTTCTCCTGCAAAGTCCACTGGTCCTCTGCACCAGATGCATAGTAGTCGTACACCATCTTTGGCAACTTTTGCTTTGCAATTGCGTCATACTCAGTGACATTGGTTATCTCCATCTTCGCTGTGAAGTTATTCTTCTGCCCGCAAATTTTGTACTTGTTAGCATTTCCAAAAAAATGTAACAAGATTAATGATTTACTGATGAGGACAACAATCCAATCAAAATGGTGGGATTAAAATTAGACCTATATTCTTCTAGACTACATCAAAGAAATATTGCAACAGAGTTCCAAATGCATGCATTGACCTACTGAGTGGAGAAAAAAGAACTGATTAAAACACCAGAATTGACAAAATACAATACATGAGATACAAGTCCAGCTAATTCCAGCTAAGAAAATGAAGTTTTCACCTTTGAAATTGAGACTTAACAGCTGTTAAGAGTTGACAGCATCCCATAATCTAATGTCCAAAACATATATACAAGCGAGGAATCGACTGTTTTGGGACATTAACTACACTTTTAACTAACCATTTTCAGCAATCAGCATTAGTACTTTTCTCCCCCTTGAGTTGGTGTATATACAACAAGCTGTGCTTTGCTAGTAGGCTTTAAATAAGGTAATTAAGTCTAGTTTCTGTTGTGGGAAACTAAGACTTAAGGTCAGTCTGGTTTTTTTTAAACGGGAAACCAAATTGAACCCGAAGACATAAACATAAACAGACTGAAAACACATAATCTTAAAGAATTTTTTTGACAAGCAAAGGTATAGAATTAAACAGTAATCTGAGGTAAGGTGTGAGCCAAGACCAACATGGCAAACTGTCATGTAAAGAGAATTGCAGCAGAATCATAGTAACAAGTATTTTAGCCTGCTGTGTAAACCAACATGGCAAAAAAGAAAGTAATGAGAATGAATGGAAAACTTTTGAACTAGAAATAAAGCAGAGAACAGCATACCCTTCGGTTCCAAGTCTATCCACCAGAGTGCATGCAGAGAAACCAGTTAGAGGAAAAGCTCTCTATATCTTAACGTAAAAGAAAGAAAAAGAATGTAATGAAGAAACGATAAAAAAAAAAAAGGGTTATATATATGAGTTTGGAAGGTGACAAAGAAAAATGTAGGGTACATGTATCACATACAAACCATAGAAAAAGGGAAATGAAAAAAGAGAGGGAAATTACAAGTTAAGTGGATGAGCATTTGGAGGTGAGGATTTGAGACCAAATCTTGTTAGAGCTACTGGGTGACTCTCATCCACATACCCTTTGTGTGTTTCACAGCTTTTCTTCTCTATTATCATTCTCATCCAAAAATAAATAGATAAATTCGTGCAATAAAGAGGTATAAATCAAGAAAATATGACAAGTGATAGTGACCATAGTGGCTCTCCCTCAGTCTATCAGGTTCAGATTAAAATTGGAATGCAAGTTATAGGCTGCCTCTTTTAAAACTCTTGTAATTAACGGTTGATTAATTGATATTAGTTAAAATGTCATTTATTATTTCACGTTCACGTGATACTGATGTGAAAAGTAAAAAATGTTTTATAATCATACTACATTATCATCTATTATGATATATCAATATACAATATCAATGTTATAAGATAAAGAGTGACAACTTACAATTTTCACTAAGAAGTATTCTTGCTAACAAGAGACTTAAATTTTTTTGATTAAAATTACAATGTAAAAATAATTATATTTAACTCAATGTGTTGACAAACAGAAGATGGATAATCACTTTACTTTTTCCGTAAATAATTTATCATGATTTTGTTAAATATGAGAACACCTCTAAAAATAACTCTATAATGAATTTTCTTATTTGTTAGCATTTTATCTTCATTTATTTCATACGTACTCTAATCGTGTACATCTTTGAATAATTATATAAAAACATTATTTTATAGATCTTGGGTCATAAAAAAATTACACTAAGGGGAAAATAAAAAATGATAATTATCTAATATTAGAGAGAACACATTGAAAAATTTTCTTTTGGCAAGTACAAAAAACTCCAAAGTTTGAGAGATGTAACAATTGCTCTACTATTAAATTAAGTATTTGTTTGACTTGATTTTTTTTCAGCTTACATAAATTTTTGAAAAGTTCTTAAAAAAAAAGGATTTTTTTTTAAAGAATAAAATTTTTAAAGAAAAAGGGCTTTAGGGAAAGCTCCTATGAGGAGTTTTTTCTTTTTTTTTTTTAAATACAAGAAAATTTTTATTTTTGTTTTAAAAATATCTTCATCTGTTAAAAGATAATTACAATATAATTCTCTCAAAAAAAATATCCTTTACGATAATTTTAACCAAAATTATAACTTATAAAAAAAATTATAAAAAAAATTTACCAAACAATTTCAACTTAATTTAAAAAGTTATTATTTTTCATAAGAACTTTTAAACTAGAAAAAAGTTGAGTCAAACAGGCTCTAAATCAATATTATGAGTCTAACCACCTAAAAGCCCCAACAAAACAAAAGATAAGTCAGGACTCAATTTCTTTAGTTGTATTTCTTTTTTTTCTCTATATTTGAAAAAAAAATAAAGGTGTTTACTTTTATTTGTTGGACTGTTTTCAATTTGACACCTTTTTATTAATTAAAAAAATTATATAACCAAAATAATTTCTTTTAAAAAAAAGTCATGATTTTGTAGAAGAAATTAATATTCAAGTATATGTAACACATTCCATGTAAGTAAAGAGAGAAGATAAGTTTTGGATTATAAATAAAGATTTTTTTTCACTTGATACACGTCTTTGTATAAAAAATGTGAGCATGATCTAGAATTTATTCAATTTTTCATTGATAGGGATCCCATGAAAGATATTAAGGTTAAAGTAGGTCTGAATCAAAGTGAGTTTTTTTTTTTTTAATGATGAAAAAGGTAATACAACAAGTTTATAAATAAAGACTTTCTTTTACTTGATAAGTATGTTTTTTAGATTGAAAAAATAATCCTATGATATAGGAACATGACTAAAAAGTTTTTTGACCACAAAAAACTAAAAGGTTTTTAAAAGTCCAATTCAATTGTTCGAATCCCAAATAAAAAAATAAAATGCTCTAATATTTTTAAATTTTAATTATAATTTCACGTAACTTTATTACTTTTTAAAATAAATAATTCATTTCAAACATTTAAATAATATTAATGAATAAATGTAAAATATTTTAAAAATTTTTTCTCCACCTTTTTTTTTATAAAATCTCTCTATCTTACTTATCGTAAGCCAATTATCTATTAATCGGATTTGACTAGAGAGTGCCAAATTGTACTCCCTTGGTGCTCTCAAAGGGAGCGCAATTTGGCTGGTATTTTTTGGCCAAATCTAGTTACGAGGTGACTGGCTGCGGTGTGGTTGATAGATAAGATGTGAGATAGAGATTGGTTTTTGAATGAGAGTGAAAAAAATTTTAAAAAAAAATTATAATTTACATAATTTAATAATTTTTAAATTTAATAAAAAATAAAATAATTTAAAAATATTATTTACGAAAATATTAACAATTAGGTAACAGATAGATTTATGCGTCTAATAAAACATATTCTTTTAAAGTAAATTTTTATTTCATAAATTAATAAAGCCGTATAAAATTATTGTGGACCGTCTAAAATTATGGTTATATCGGATGTTAGGGTATTTTAGTATTAAAAAAAAAAAACGTAGAAATCAAGAGGCAACCCGTTTTTAAGTTCCAACTTGCACCGAATGTCCTAGTATCCTTTTCCTTTTCAACTTTTGTTATTGACAGAGTGAAAGAACAGCAAAGCAAAAGCACAGCAATGGCGGATCCAGTTAAGAATAAACTGTTGAAAGAAGAAATCATTACCTACGCTTACCTTATCCTCTACATCGCTCTCTCGAGCGGTCAAATCTTCTTCAACAAGGTCAGTTTTCGTCTTCACTTCTGGATCTCTCGTTTTTATTAACTTCATAGAGATTCACAAGTTTAATTTTTAAGCCTCACATTGTTGAGATGTTTATATGTTCAATAAATTGGAAGTAAATTGCATTTAATTTGTTATGTTTAGCTTAATTGTGAATGTCAGTTTCTCTTTTCTTAGAAATTAAGCTCGTATTTTGATGTAAAAATTAGCCTTTTTGAGGTTATGTTTCATATATAATGGGAGATATGGATATTGAATGCGTGCCGGTGATTTTATAAAATTGCGTCCCAAACAAATCATGTCTTACTTCTATTTAATTCACATGCCTTCCACAAAATGAAATGCATATTCTGAAGGCATTCTAGCATAGAAATCATATGTTTTAAGGCTATCATGTAATACTTCATTTTGATGATTTTGTGGCAAGGAGATTCTTAATAGTCTTCTTGACTGCAATCTTTTATACTTCATTGAGTGTAGTTGTGGCATAACTCTATGCACATGGTTTGACAGTATGCTGACAACTAATTAGAACTTCATGCAAGAAAATGCTGTTATCCTTTGTTACATGTGCCTGAAAAATGGTGCCATTTCAGGTCAATGAGCTTAAATTGTGGTTATAACTATGTTTACTGCTTCTGCATACTCTTTTGCCACAAAGTTTTGCAACTTCAGAGTTTGGATCATGTTGTTAATGGCAAATACAATGTTTTCTCTGTAAGTTCAAACATTTTGTATATCGTTAACTTGAACAAATGCTTAATAAATTTTCATCGTTACTTGTTATTTTTCTGCATAGAATGGCTGTTTGATATGGTAAAGTATGGGGAACTCTTATAAGTTTTGGATTCATAAGGCTGATATTAAGTTTTTGGTTTTGTTCCCTTTCTATGGAAACTGCAGTGGGTTTTGTCATCTAAGGAAATTAACTTTCCTTACCCCCTTGGATTGACTCTGCTTCACATGGCCTTCTCCTCTATACTATGTTTTTTACTCACTAAAGTCTTTAAGGTATCCACAGCACTATATGTTTATGGTAGGCTGGCATTTGAGCAATGAATTTTTTCATTTATTTATTATGAAACTTTTGGTTGTCCTTTCTCTATTTTTTTCCATCTCAGGTTATGAAAGTTGAGGAGGGAATGACCATGGAAATGTAAGTTATTAACAACACCCCTTATGTATGATGTTTGAATTTGTAGATTTGTTCTTTATATTATTTTGGCGTATTCTTTTACTGGCTGATTTATTAGGATCTTTAATGGTGACTGAATATGAATAAACTTTGTGATCTTAGCTGAAATTTGATATGTCAAGGAGGTGACCCCAACAGGTTTTATTGTTAACAGGAAAAAAAAAAGGTTTTTGAGGATTCAAATATCCAAAACTTAGCCTTGTGTCAGTTTAAAACTTTATCATTTTAAATTGCAAAATTTTTCCAACTCGTTCTTGATTGAAAATGGATTATATTTTGAATTGAATGGTTCAGATGTGCATTTTTTTGTTTGAAATCCTTTGGCTAACAAAAGATTCCATAGTTGCTTGCTACTGCTTATATGAAGCCTCGTAAGTTCTTAGTTGGACATCAGGGGTGTGTTGAAGGTATCATCCTGGCATAACAATGTATCCAAATTCTTAGTTTTTGATATTAACAGTGCATTTTGAAGTATAATGCATAAGATTCTTGTGGCATGGGATAAAGGAAAAACAAAGCAAATAGAGAGTGAAACAGGGGAAAAGGAAAGAAAGTGAAATAGGTGAATAGGAAAGAGAGCAAAAGAGGGGAAAAGAACCTTTTCAAAAAAGAAAAAGAAATAGGGTGCAAGGAAAAAACTAAAGAGAGTAAGAGAGAAATTAGAGGAAATGGGAAGAAACAGATTAGATAGCGAGGGAAAAAGAGGTGATGTGGAATATGAATAATAAAAAGAGATAGGCTGAATGATTTTTTTTGGTATGTAGATAGGTTGATTGTAAACTGAAATAATATAGGCATTTATAGATGACTTCCTAAAAAGGCAATTGATTTATGATAACTTAGATAACCTAAAATAAAATAAAACTGGAAATGACAATAAAAACTGTAATTATACCATGTTATCATAATAAACTCCTAAATAATTCAATCTCTTTTGGTCATCCTCTCTCACATCAAAGATTCTGAACAAGTTGTTGATAGTGGTCTTCCTAGCCATTCCTTTTTGGAGTAGCGAAGAATATCTATATTATGGTGCTCAAATAAGAACTTGCAAAGCGATAGTTCTTTTGCTGTCGGTGATTAGGATAGGAGAAGCCCTCCCACGTGACAAACCTTCCCCTTTCCCCAATTTGTCTTGTGCTTCCACCCTTTATAATAATTGCATACTGTTGCTGGTCCTTAGCTTCTTGGCTGCATAGCGATTGGTGGTGACTCTTTAAGCACTTTAGCTGATAGGACTTGTATATTAGAAGAAAAAAAGGTTTTTTTTAATGTAGTTTGGTCCCTTCTTGTTCCAGTAGCATCAACTCTAGAAAATAGGCCAACACTTACTATGAGTTTTAAAATTTACAGAAAGATGACATAAAGAAAATGCTTGACTTAATTGATTCTTATGTTTGCTGATTCATTGACTTCATGTTTCCTGCTCTGGTACTCCCTCAAATCTAAATTTTTAGAACTCATTCTATTTGGCTCATGCCAAGATCTTTTTTCTCTGTAAAAGTTTACTTACACAAAACACTTGTTACGATTTGATTTTACAGTTAATGGGGATAATTAAGCTCAAAATATTAGTAGGATATTCTAGTATAGTTTAAATTAGAAACTTAAGGTTCAAAAACAAGCATAGAACCCAATTCAATTAGGATTCATTTAGAACAACTATTATATGAAAGTGAGCAAGATGGAAGCAGATTTGTGCAGTAGAGAAAGATGAAAATTTTCTCATGATAAACTGAAAATGCAGCTCATGTCATCTCTTTGGTCATAACATATCTTCCTAAGTTGTCTGATATAAATCCTTTGTTGTACACCTTGTCTTTAATTGAGATTTTTTCATAGCAGCAATACATCCTTGTTGCTATTTAATTATTTCTTGCTTATTCTTATTTTTCTTTTATATTTATTTACCTTTAATTTGATGGAGTTATACATGCTCAGATACACGACATCTGTTATCCCAATTGGTGCAATGTTTGCAATGACTCTTTGGCTGGGAAACACTGCCTACCTTTATATATCTGTCGCATTTGCACAAATGCTGAAGGCAATTAGTAAGTTCTCAAAATTCATTGGGCAAATTACACTTAAACCCATTTGCTTTTTGTGATTCATTTTAATTGCATGTGCTTTAAAAACTTATACTTAACCCCATGCTTTTTTCTGTTTGACTAATGGGGTTATGCGGTTAAAAGATGTCATGTGCTGTGACATTTTCATCTGATATATCTTTTGAAGCAAAAGAGCAATCCTTGCATCAGTTTGTTATGCCTTTTTCTTGATTTCTGAAGATTAAAATAATCACAATATGGAACCTTTGAAAACCAAAACATGGAAGGAGCAAAATGCTAAAGGAGATAACACAATCCCTTGATTGGCATCAATTTATAATAACAGTGAGCCCCTCCGTCTCTTTTTCCAGGAACCAAACGGACTGAAAATAGAATTATAAAAGGTATGGAAGAGAATTAGAAAATAAAGATAGCTTATAGATTAAAACCCTTCTTTTGTCTACCAACTAAACTGAAGAAAACAATAAAACAAAAGGCTTCAAAGCTCATTTTCTCTCAAACCAATTGAGAAAACAGCAAGAGAAAAAAATGTCTGCAAAGTACCTAGCAAGCAATCACAATTTGCTGCATCCTCCCTGATCACGTTGAGCAGTAGAACAGTCACCTCTCTTTCCTCCTCATCATGCCCCTTGGTGCCCATTTTGATACCCTCACAGCAGAAAAGAAAAATTCCAGCATGGAAGCTGTCAGAAAGATTAAGAAAAAGGAAATGAAAGAAAATATCAACTGAACAAATTAATTTCAAGGTTGACTTGCACATAATTCGTAAGTCAGATTTCTCATGACCCACAACAAGGAGTCAAAACTTTTATGTGACTTAAATGTTACACCACCCAACATCATTGGAGGAGCATTTCGGCCAAATTTGAAGCCATTGACTTGGTGGACAAGTTGGTGGAGCAGCCATGAAACTTGATCAAAAAGACCAAATCCATGTCCAAGTGCATATTTACAGATGTGCCTAATGCTGATTCATGGGGTTTTGCACATCAGAACTTGTCCATGTTTCCCAATCTGTGATAATATCTTCTTTGTTCTCCATTGATCTCAGTTTCTCTGTACTTACCAAATGAGTGGTTGAAATGCTAGATCAAACATGTATATGGCTGTGCACTCATGACACATACATATCATTGATAAGGTCGTTTTTGCAACTTTATTCAAGAAGGTAATGGTGTGACTTGTTGGTAAGTCAAATAGTGAGAACCACATGGGGCTAAGTAAAACTTTTATAGCATGTTAGATGAAGTTAATTCTGCCCAAACCATAAGGGATTAACTGTAATTGACTCCTTGTTGGGTTTGTCTACCCTTTTCAGGTGGATAAGTAATGCCTGTAGAAAATTAGTTTGGTCTCTCCAGCTGTAAAATAGTTTTTGATTTTGCTCAGATGTTAGGTTGGTGATTAAATCCTAGGTAATTCAAGCACAGTTAATTAGAGTCAAGAATATGCCAATAAATACCTTGTTTCTTATATTACTCATTATTTAGATGGCGGATGGTGATATCACTACTTTCCTTGAATGAGTTTTGCAGTGCCGGTGGCTGTTTTCATACTTGGAGTAGCAGCAGGACTGGAGGTAATGAGCTGCAGAATGCTTTTGATAATGTCAGTGATAAGTTTTGGTGTTCTAGTTGCTTCCTACGGAGAAGTAAATATTAGCTGGATTGGAGTTGTTTACCAAATGGGTGGTGTTGTTGGAGAAGCTTTAAGACTTATATTCATGGAGATCTTGGTCAAGCGAAAGGGTCTTAAATTAAACCCCATATCTATCATGTATTATGTTAGCCCTTGCAGGTATGTATTTCATCATTCTTCTGTTATAGCCAGTATCTTCGAGACAACATTTCACTGTCCTCCCTGTACATAAAATTGATTCCAGTTGGGATTGAATGTTTGTGTTCTTTGCAGTGCTCTTTGTCTGTTTATTCCTTGGATCTTCCTGGAGAAACCAAAGATGGAAGCCCATGGGACGTGGAACTTTCAGCCTGTTGTGCTAACACTCAACTCTCTCTGCACATTTGCACTCAACTTATCGGTTTTCCTAGTGATCTCACATACTAGTGCTCTAACCATTCGTGTTGCTGGAGTTGTCAAGGATTGGGTGGTTGTTTTAGTATCTGCACTTCTTTTCGCAGATACAAAGTTGACAGTCATAAATTTATTTGGTTATGGAATTGGTAAGTATCTAAACATATATTCTCTTTTATATCTCCATCTCTTTTAATGTGCATTTATCTATTATATCATTTTGAGGACATAGCCAAGGGCTGACAATCCATTTACATTCTGGAGGGCAAGGATGTAGCACAATCATTCAAGTTATTCTCAAAAATTAACCTTAGCAGCTGATAGTTTAGGTAGAAATGAATTATAGAAATCTGAATTGTTTGATAGGAACAATTGTTCCTTCAGGCATGATGGAGCTTATCCATGGTTTTGCTGGACTGGCTATGAATATCTATGCTTTAGAGATGCCAAAACACTGGATCACTCGTCTTGTTCTTCAGTAGTTTATGCCAAAGTATTGCTGGACTTGTTAGGAGTATTTATGCCTTACATTATGCCAAAGCCCTGCATCAGCATTCAGCAGTTTACCCTGTTTTTTGGGGTATTAGATGCTATTTGCTATTTAGTGTCTGTTCGTTCTTAAAATTTATTGTAAAGGTTAGAATGGCGTAGAATGAGCGGCCTTGGATTGGTCCTAGGCTTCAGTAAATTTGCATGTAGTGGTGGCTCGTTTGCTTCACTATTGTTGTGAGAAATGTGGAGTAGTTTCTAGAGGTCATTGTGGCATTGCGAAGGAGCCATTTAAACTGGACATCAATTCTTCTTTATTTCTCTTTGATGAATTTACTTTAATTGCTTTTTTGTAGCCATTGCTGGTGTGGCTGCATATAATAATTACAAGTTGAAGAGGGAAGCTTCTCGCCATATCTCTGATGACTCCCAAGATGCCCAGGCCATTCCGATGGCTGCATCATCAACTCCA